AACATGTCAATCTGAGGCCGGGGACCTCACAATTCCACCCGGAGTTATCCTGGCAGCATCAGCCAGTTTCGCTTGTGTAATCACTTCTGAACCACTCTGATCCTTGCTAACAGTCTGTTCCTAGGTGCTATTGCCAAATGAACCCCCGTTCCTATCTACCTCCCCCTCCCCTTCTTACCGCTAGCCCTGCGGTCTAACCTCGGCCTAAAACGGCCGAGAGGAACTTAACTGTTCCTTCTACAAGAGGTTGGCCCTCTCCTCCCTTCCCATCCCTTATGGTCTACTGTGACCCCAGCTGGAACCCAATGCCCTGGTTCCTCCTAATAATACTACTCTWGTCCTACCTTACCCCTTCTCCTCTTTAGTCTCTATTCGAGCCATGGTGATATCTTCAGCCTGTTGTTTGAGATCTCTGCTAGCCCACCTGKTCTTGCCCACGTTTCTGCAAACCATGCTAGCCCTGAACTACGTCCGCCTTTCAGCACTTTCCTCCTCCAATCCGCCCTGATTTCCATCCCCACCATACGCCTGAACATTGCCTCTGCCTGTTTTTCCTCCAGGCCCTGCTCCTGAAAACGCCTGCYGTTCCTGTCCAACCAGATTGTCCACATCATTGCCGCCCTGCACACTTGGGCAATATAGCCCTATCCTTTACTTGCAGAGACATGGTCTGGAAGGACCCCTTGCAACACCCATCGTTCGTTCTGGGCATAGCTCGTTCCCGACAGCTSCGCCCAATGACGGAACCACCAGTTCCACCATTTTTGTGAGTGTGGACAAGCCCACCATAGATGTGTCATGGMCTCAACAGGCCAATTGCATCTGTCGCATTCCATTCTGACTGCCATTCCTCTGTCCCTTAGCCAACTCGCTGTGGGGACTGACAGGTGTGACTSCAGMCATAACAATGAGGCTGTTTTCTGGGATGGGATGAGGCTCAGTTGTCCCCATAGTTTCTTGAGCTCTCTTTCCGTTGGCTGCTGTATGCAGGGCTGCGCCCTTTCCCACCGAGCGATGAGTTGGGTTGAGGTYTTCCTTCCTTTGGTCAACTTGGCGGACACCAGGCTACCTGACAAGCTTGCCCAGTCCCAGATTTCCTCTTCGTCTATCTTCCAGCTCCACTGCAACGGGTCAATCCTGAGCTGTTTCTTTGCAGCTCCTCCCCCTATCAATTTGTA